CCTCTCCCTTCAGAGGTGCACATTCCATCACACCTGGGAACGAAAAGGATAAACTCCAGGGATGTACAGAATTTTGGATTCTGTCTAGAGCAGTGTTTCTCAACCTTGGTGACTTTAAGTCCTGTGGACTTCAACTCCCAGAATTCCCCAGCCAGCTATGCTGGCTGGGGGATTCTGGGAGTTGAAGTCCATAGGACTTCAAGTCACCAAGGTTGAGAAACACTGCTCTAGAGACAGAAAAAAAGAGCTTGTGGAGCCCAAATGCAATATCTCAAAGCTGCAACCTCTTTTCTTTGACGTGCGTGGCTCCACCACTACTGCACAAACCTGGGAAAGGATGCAGCTGTTTTCAAAGTGTTTTAAAGCAAGGTGCTGTGTTTTCAGAGATGGAAACACAATATCATTATGCAAGTATTATTCAGAGACTGAATCTGAAATGCAGCACATTTGTAATACATACTGCAATGACACAATGGCGTCTGGGTAGATTGCTGCAGAAGCTATCCCACAATTATTTAGCACTAATAAATAACTGCCAAGCAAGCATTTATGTCCTTGTCTTTTTCTCACCTGTGTCTGTCTAGGAAAAAAAAAACCTCCTTAACTCCAGATGACTTCATGAACTGGTCTAAATAGTTGTTTAGTTTATCAAGCTTTGTGTGACTTTGTGTTGAGAAACTGCCAGACAGACAAGAAGGTGACTTCAAGAGAGGAATTAGCCTTGAGTTGTTGCTCAATCACAAACGATCCAGGGCTGACATCCCCCCCCCCTCACCCAAATACCATGGGATCTTATCTGTTTGTGCCCAAGAGAAGGCACGTATTCTGGAGAGATTCCTGTAATATAGGCAGAATACAATGAAGTAGTTAGCTTGAGCCCCACGTATGCGGATATGGTTGCTTGCCCCAATCAGCTTTGTAAGGCAACTACCAATGGTAATGAGTATCAATTGCAGATTGTCATTGCCATGGAATTGTACCAAATAATGGACAGTTAAGTTTAAGATAATTCATTAGGCTCCTTCAACCTCCACAATAATTCCCATCACAACCAAAATTTGTGTGTGATATGAATTATAGGAGATATTTCTGGAATGCATCATTGTGGTGAATGGCCTAAAATCAAGATCATAGAAAAAAAGCAAAACAAATACAGCAGCATTGCATCTTATAGCGAAATGGAATGTACAAACCAATGCGGTCATTGTGTTAAAATACCTTATTCGATGCTATAAAAGTGCTACCTAAAAAAATAAGCTCTGATTGAAGGAAGAAAGGAAAAAGCCTTTGCAGTGTGTGGCAGGTTATCAGAAATCTGAAATCACTGTTCATTTACCAATGAAAAGAAGCAAATAGCATTTACCGTTTCAACCCCAGCAATCTGAAGCTCTGAAATAGCAGCGTAGAGTTCTTTCTTTGAAAGCTGGCTCCCAAAGTAGATATCACAGAGGAAATCTTCAGAGGGATTTGCGGAGTATTTTTNCCTAATGCAAGTTCAGAGCATCTGTAGCAAGAAGTTGGCTTGCATGCAAGAAGACAAAAAGTGAAACATAGATAGAAATATATTTAGTGTCACAACCCCTGGTATGCCCCAATTATGGGAGGAAGCTAACTGCTTCCATTCTCTGTCCATCGGCTCGTCACAAGAGACCATCCAGACAGAAAGCCCAATATTTTTACTGTTGCACAAATACAAGATAGATAGAAATATATATATATACATCTACAATAAACTGGATAAGCTGCTTCCCTGTGAGATCTCTAAGGTAGGCCTATATATTACAATGATTCCAATAATGCCACAGGTAGTCCTCAGCATACAACTTGTTGCTTAAAAACAGTTTGAAGTTACAACAGGCCCGCAAAAGTGACTTAAGACTTGATTTAGAAGTTACAAATGGTTGCACATGAAGGTGCACGCTCACACACGGTCACCCGATTGTGCTGGGCAACTGACTCATTTTTAGGGCTGTTTGCAGATCTCACACTTATATGATTGTGATGGTTTTTTGCCGCTTTCCAGCATTTATTTGTAGTTTCCAGCAAAAAAACATCCACTGGATAAAATATATACGGCTAACAACCACAGCATTTCATTAATGACTGCTGCAAAAGTTGTCCAAAAATGAATCCTTGACTTACAACTGTAACAGCTCACAACCATAATTCCAGGCTTAGTTCAAGGGCTACCTGCACTTGTATGTTGTAAGGTGTATTACGGAGTTTTGAACTTCTGTCCAAAATCTTTACTGCCCCTTTTTGAAGGACAACAAGGTCACAGTAGGGCCATTTGAAATGTCTTTTTTCTGCTTTCAACTTTCATAGGAGCAACCATCTCTTCTTTCCCATTTCTTAACGCCAGAATTAAATTCTTCTACACTCTTTTCTAAATTTTCTACCTGTTGTGCAGGTAGAATGTTCGTAAGATTTCTCTCGAATTCAAGAGAAATCCTCCTCACCCTGCCCCTAATAGGAAACAAGAAAGTGAAAGAAGCTCTGATTCAGTTCTTCAGACTTGGTTGGATGGCTTGGTCTCATCAACCCTATAAGAATGTGCCAATCTTTAGGAGGGACAAAGATTCCCTCCCACAGCTCTTTAATGTCATGCTAAAAACACTCTTCCAAAAAATAACAATAAATGGAGGGTCAGAATGAAAACCAGATTTGATTTAATCAAAATGAAATTAAATTAATTTGGGTTAACGTCATTGACTGGAGGATGATTGGTTGCCCTCTCCCCTCTTTGGAAGAGATTTATAGCTCCCACTGCCTTAAGAAAGTTCAAAACATTCTTAAAGATCTATCTCATCCTGGGCACCCCCTTTTTTTTTAAATTATTACCATCTGGCAGACGGTACAGGATAAGAAAATCAAGGACAAATATGTTGAAAAAACAGCTTCTATCCCAGGGCAGTAACTGTATTGAATTCTACAGTATAGTGCAATATAAATGCGATATCGGGTTTTCAATTTGGATTATATAGAATGTGAAGGATGTATGTTTGTGTTTTTATTTTTATAGTTAGAATGTACACTGAAGATGACATTTAATTTCGTTGCACAAAGTGTAATGGCAATAAGCTAAACTAAATTAAACTAAACTAAACTAAACGCTCTCTTATTTTCCCCTTTCTGCCACTTTGAAAATTAGAACTTGGCAACCATATTTCCAATGATTGCTTGAGGCACCAATCCACATTCTTCATGCTACTTCTCAATTATACTGGCAGAATATCTACATAAGTCTACATTCATGTAATTGAGTAATTTCTAATTAATTATCCTTGCAACTGACTATGTCTGCTAGGATTGTACTACGTTTTACATCCTATCCAAGGGTTCAACAAATCCAGAGCTTTCCCATCCCAGAAGATTCTACTGCAAATGGATGTTTGTTTGCAATACAGCCCAGCAAATATTTCAGGCCCTACCCAAGAATGACATAGAAATTGAACTGAGTTAGCCAAAATTCAGCTCTTTATTTGCTCATTAATATATATAGGCAGAATCTTGCCAGATTAAATGCATACCCTAATGGATATACCCTGGCAGATTTCTAGGGAGTGGCTCTCTATAATTTCTTCCTCTGTCTCCTATCCAGCTCTGTGTTGTGACTAGTCTCACTCCTTTCCTTGGAATGTGATTTCTCCTTCCTGGGAAATTGCTGCTTCACCATTAGTCCATTCCACCACCTCTCCCTTCAGAGGTGCACATTCCATCACACCTGGGAACGAAAAGGATAAACTCCAGGGATGTACAGAATTTTGGATTCTGTCTAGAGCAGTGTTTCTCAACCTTGGTGACTTTAAGTCCTGTGGACTTCAACTCCCAGAATTCCCCAGCCAGCTATGCTGGCTGGGGGATTCTGGGAGTTGAAGTCCATAGGACTTCAAGTCACCAAGGTTGAGACACACTGCTCTAGACAGAATCCAAAATTCTGTACATCCCTGGAGTTTATCCTTTTCGTTCCCAGGTGTGATGGAATGTGCACCTCTGAAGGGAGAGGTGGTGGAATGGACTAATGGTGAAGCAGCAATTTCCCAGGAAGGAGAAATCACATTCCAAGGAAAGGAGTGAGA